TTACTTTAGATGGGATTCCATTGTCGTCATATTTAATTTCAACATATCTTAGACTTCACTTAACATATCCTTTTTTGTTAATTCATTTGTTAATAGTCGTAGAACGCGCTGGAGTGTAGTTTAAAGTAAATCACATGTGAGGCGTAGTACGGTTTTTTTTTGCATATGTAAAGGTAAGTGTTGAAAAAATTTCCGGATTTTTATTGAAAAACGCTTTGAAAAAAGCACGGATTAAAAAAAAAAAATTTCATATTTCTTCTTCTTATTTCAATATATGATATCAATGGACTAATAAAAACCTTTAAGAAATTAAAAGGTTGTAAAGTTGTCTTGCTCGCTTCATATTTCATTTTTATATGATTTTTTACATTTTCACCAATATTTGAAAAATAATTTTTTTTGCCAATTTGTGGTAAAATTGATATACTGAGTTCAAAATCTGATATACTGTCTAAAAACTGATATACTGAGTTCAAAAATCCCAGTAGGGAAAAATTTATATCAGTTTTAGAGTACTGGGGTTCTCTAGATAAAAAAAGAAATTACTCTAATATAAAATTTGTTTTTGAAGGGTTTTGCTCCCCTCTGGCCAATGTGCGATGGTGCGAATAACTCATGTCAGAATACACAAAATGTCGTATAGTTATTTCCCGCCTAAAAGGAGGGATTTGAAAGCTCATGTATTGGGTAAAGGCCGCGGCCCCTTGAAGGTTGTGGCACCAAGGCCGTGGCTTCCTCTGCCTTTCCCTGTCTTTTCTTAGTAACGCCTCTGGTAAAAAGTATAGTTTTATTTTTTATTATTAATAAAACATTCTAGACGCGTTGAGAAGTTTCCTTAATTTGAGCATGAAATAGCTTAATTAACAAACCAAAGTAACTAAGTATCTAAGTAACTTAGATACTTAGTTAAAGCTTAATTAACAAACCAAAGTAACATGGTATCTAAGTAACTCCCCAAGCTCGTTATTTAGATACCATGCAAATTCTATTCGGTTAATAAACGTAGAGTTTGGACTGTTGTAGTTGTAACGAAAACAATTACAGAAACAATAACTATTGTTATTGTATTAAAACAATAACAATGTTATTAGTTTTTAAAAAATAAAGACAATACCTGCGTACTGTAATACAATAATAATAAATATTGTATTGCAATTCATCTTCATAATACAATAACAATATCTGAAGAAAAAAAAAGGTATTGCAATGACCCACTTCAATAACAATAAATATTGTATTGTTATTCATCTTTATTATACAAAAACAATTAATTGATTTTGTAATAAAAAAAATTATTGTTAATTAAAACAAATAAATTTTGTTAATAGTTCAGTCTCCATGTGACCTTGAAACAGGGTACAACTGCTGGGAACAGGCATGTATACATGATCAATTACTACCATTTCTTCCACTTAGTTATTTATTTTTGCACTAAGCACCTATTCAGTTGTTTCAATAATTACTCAATATAACGCTAATATAACTTTGTCTTTTGCTTCCCTGAGGCTTTTATGACTGTATGTGTTCTATAAATTAACTGGAATTTAGGTATAGTTGCAAAGTTATACAAAAATTTTGTTACATAAATCAAGAAGATATAATAGAAAAAGGAGTTTTTCTAAATTATCAATTTTTAAGAACCAGCTATATTAGTAACATTCTATTGAAAAACACATAAAAATATAAATTTGAAAATAATATTTTTTTTAAATATTTTTAACAAATCTCAATCTCGCATATACCAAAAAAAATCTATGAACCGGCCCTGCTAAAACTCTTCAAAAGAAAGACATGGACATTACTCAAAGTGCAAAATTAGTGAAAAGTGGTTGTTCATTTTTAGAAAACTACAGAAAATGTGGTTTTAAAGATACAATTATAAAAGCAAAGGATTTGGTCGTAGAATTACAAGAGGAGCCTAATAATACGATTGAAACGCTATTTTGACAAACCAGCCAAAGACGGAATTTATTCATTTTTCCCTGAAAAAGTTAGAAATCGATTTCTTCAATCCTCTTTTAGACACATCTCTAACACCAATGAGAGAAAGATTTATACAGTTGGAGAATTATTCAGAAGTTTAGGGTTATTTGTATAATATCGATAGTTTGCAAAAAAGAGAAGAAATTCTAAAATCGTGTTTAGCTCATCAAAGTAAACCTACCGTAATTCTAAAATCGGGCTTTAATGGTATTCTCGTTTGCAATGAACTGATGAGCATTAAACCTTTTCTTTTTAAAATGGCCAAGGATAAAATTACTCCTATTATTGTTTTAAACTTTATAAAACAGCATAAAATGCAAGATTTCTATCCAAACACATGGATTGCAATACAAATTTTGCTAACAATACCTGTCACTGTAGCGAGTGGAGAAAGAAGCTTTTCGAAAATGAAACTAATAAAAATCTGCCGTCAACAAAGTCGCAGGATAGACTTTCAAGTTTAAGATTTGATTGAAAACAATATTACTGAAAATCTTTTGGTGATAAAAAGTCCCGAAAGATTAATATAAAAAATTAATTGTATTTTGTGTAAAACATTAATCAAATACATTTCTTTGTATGTACCATTTCATTGCAAAGTATTATTTTTGATTTGGATTTGTTATTTTTTTCTGTGTAATTTACCAGTAAGTTTTTAAATGGGGCGGCAGGAAAAATTTCGCACAAGGGCGGCAAGATGTCTAGGGCCGGCACTGGCTATATAAGTTTATTACATTCGAGTTCAATACTTAATTTTTTTTTTGAATAAACCAAACAAAGTAAATAAATGTTATTATAATAGTATAAAATATACAATACTGTAAACGTATTCATCAGTTTTAAGCTTTTTTTATAATGATTATAATTTTATAATTTTTAGTTTATTTTTAGTTTTTTAAATTTAGTTATTTAGTTTATTTATTTTATTAATATAACTATTATTTTTTATTAATCGTAATATAACAATATAACAATATGTAAATTTGGTATCTGAAAAAACCCAGCAAACAATAGACGTCTTTTAGACCGTCTAAAATTGGTCTAACTTGTATCTATTGCCGATACGTATATTTTACACGTATATTAGAGATCAAAAAGACGTCTGATTCTAGAGATACTATTTTTGCTCTGTTTTAGATGCATATTAGATGCATAAAATAGATCGTGCATAGATAATTTTTTTTCATCTAAACTTAGATGTCTATAATATGTCTTATATAGATTTGTTATAAAAACAAGAAAAAAATATCAACTAATTTTACGGAGCGACAATTATAAATGACCGCCATTTAAATACCATGCTTAAACTTATTACGAAAAAAGCTGAAGATTTTAACCTATGGAAAACATTAATGATTATTTCTTTTGATAAATTTTAAATAATAAAATAACATGCTATTATAGTTCACAAAATATTTCGATGTTTTGATGCTTAGCATGTTTGCTAAAATCCTTGTGATTTGAAATTTATTTTGCAGAAATATTACAAAATTAATATTTTCAAGTTGATATTTTTATTTCTAGAATAAAAGATAATGTAATTAATATATATATATATATATATATATATATATATATATATATATATATATATATATATATATATATATATATATATATATATATATATATATATATATATATATATATATATATATATATATATATGACTCATATATGAATCTTGGTTTCTCGATAAAAACGATAAGTGCACAACCAATAAAACAATCTTTTGTGTTATTGAAAAACACTCATAATATGAGTGTTTTTCAATAACACAAAAGATTGTTTTATTGTAGGTACGTGAGTATCGCGTTTTACGGAACCGAATTTTGTGCTAAAATTCTGTTCCACGTTTTTCGTAGTCTCTTAAAAGTTAGAGTGCGTTGTAGAATAACTTTTTAGTATTCGTTATCAACATAGTTGAAGCATTAGTTCGATTGGTTTTTAATTATACTCACTTAATTTATTAACGAGTTTATTGATGTCAAAATTTTGGTTGTACTTTTGTGGTAAATTTAATGTCCAGGATAAAGTCTTTTTTTTTTTTCTATCCATTTTTTTTATCAAATTTATTCATTTATCTATGCACCTGCCAATTTTCGTTGAAAAATATTTTGTAGCAGTCACCTTATTTCTTGCTTCACTTTTGTTACCTGATTTACATTTTACCTGATGTTGGCGCGGGAGACAGAGGGGTCTATTGATTGTTTTTATTTATATTTATTTTACATATATAGTATTCATATTAGCAATATTTGAATTATGTCATAAATTGATATTGTAAACCTAGATATTTTAGAATAAAAATATAGTTAAAAAATTTGTACATTTAAAAAAAATTACTTTAATAAAACGATTTTTAGTAAATATTAAAATAAGACTTTGATTTTATTTGATTTAAAAATAAAATGGAGGAAGAAAGTAAAGGTTTCGTTTAGTATTTCATCTAGTAATTTATTAATAAGAATTAGATGTGAATTAAATTATTGATGAATCATATCTAATTTGAAGATTGAACGTTGTTTTTATTTAATAAGAAATATCTTTATGGATAAGTTGTTTCGATATAAATTTATTAAACTGTTTTTAAATTATCTGGCCACTATCTAAATCTTTATGTATAACTTAATTATTTCTTTCACTGTTTTAGATAAACAAAGTTGTAGTGCAGCCGACAACATCAGTTAGTTACTTTTTGTATTCAATAGCTTAGTAGTTATTAAATAGATGCTATTATAATATATGTTCTATATATATATATATATATATATATATATATATATATATATATATATATATATATATATATATATATATATATATATATATATATATATTATATATGATATTAGTTTTCTAATACAGTTCTTTATTATGCCTGTGTAGATTGTTGTCTAACAATATTATTTCTTGTTAGTTGCATTTTTGTATACTTAATACTTACATTTTTTTAAGTCACTCTTTTTTTTCTGTAGACAATTTAGAACAAACAAACAGTAAGTTAAGTTTGAATT